GGCTAATGTTAATAATGCTGCTATAAAGTTTTTTGTGTGGACGTATGTTTTCTATTCTTTTAGGTGGAAAATTTGGGTCATATTGTAGCACTGCAGAATAATGCACTGGACTGAAAGGTCAGTTTAAACTGCAAGGTCTGTGGTTCAAACCCACCAGCTGCTCCTTGGAAACCCTAGACAAGGTCACTATGAGTTGAGTCGGAATCAACTCAGCATCAATTAACAACAGCAACGATGGATGGAAATTCTATGCTTAACTTTTTGAGGAATTACCACATTGTTTTCTACAGAGGCTGTACCATATTATATCTCTACCAAGTTCTTCACGTCTTCATCAACATATTTGTTATCCATCTTTTTTATAATAACCATGGCTAGTGGATGTGAAATGATATTTCATTATTGTTTTAATTTGCATTTCCCTAATGACTAATGTGTGGAGTCCAGGTGTGGCGCTGTGGGTTAATGTGTCAGACTGCAAAGCCATTTGAACTGCAAGGTTGGCAGTTCATGCTTACCGGCAGCTCCTCAGAAACCCTATACAGGGTCACTATGGGTTAGAACTGACTCAATGGCACTTAACAATGACAACAATGACTAATGTGTGGGAGAAAGATGGGGCTTTCTGCTCCTAGGATTCTTTGCATTCTCAGAAACCCTATGCAGGGTCACTATGAGTAAGAATACTGCATGGCAATAGGTAAATGTGTTGTTGTTGTTAGGTGCTATTGAGTCGGTACTGACCCATAACGACCTTATGCACAGCACAACAAAACACTGCCTGATCCTGGGCCAACCTCACTACTGTTGCTACGCTTGAGTTCATTGATGCTGCCACTTGGCCAGTTCATCTCGTTGGGGGTCTTCCTCTCTTTCTCTGTCCCTTCACCTTACCAAACATGATATCCTTCTCCGGCGACTGCTCTCTCCTGTCAATATGTCCAAAGTATGAGAGACATAGTTTGGCCATCTTGGCCTCCAAGGAGCACTCTGGCTGCACTTCTTCCAAAACAGATCTATTAGTTCTTTTGGCAGCCCATGGCACTTTCAGTATTCTCCTCCAACACCACAACTCAAAAGCATCAATTCTTCTAGGATCTTCCTTATTCACTGTCCAGCTTTCGCATGCATGTGAGGTTATTGAAAATACCATGGCTTGGATCAGGTTCACCTTAGCCCTCAAGCTGACATCTTTGCTCTTTGACAGACTCCTGTTTTGACGTAGCATAAATAGAAAAGTGCAGAATCCTTTGGAGGGACGCACCACCTTTAGAAATGTGTGGACCTTGATAGAAGATCTGTTGAGAAACAATAGCTGCACTTTTTTTTTTTTTTTAAATCAGGAAATTTTGTATTTTAACTACAGCTTACTACAAATAAAGAATACCCAGTGGTACAATTGTTGAGACATGGACTTGTAATTTAAAGTTTGGTATTGGAACCCACTCTGCAGGACAAAGATGTGACAGCAGCTTCCCTAAAGATAAGTGGTGGTGGTGGCTGTGTGCTATGGAGTCAATGCCAACTCACAGTGCCATGTATAGGCTTCTGGAGGCTGCAAATCTTTGTTGTCATTGTTGTTACTGTCATTGTTTTAGGTGCTATCAAATTGGTACCAACTCAGAGCAACATTATGCACAATAGGACGAACCACTGTCCACTCCTGCGCCAACCTCACTATTGTTTCTAACCTTGAGACTCTGGAGGTCTTCCTCTTTTTCTCCAACCCTCTACTTTACCAAGCATGATGTCCTTCTCCAGGGACTGGTCCCTCCTGATATTATATCTGAAGTATAAGATACGAAGTCTGGCCGTCCTGACTTCAAAGGAGCAATCTGACTGTACTTCTTCCAACACAGATCTGTTCGTTCTTTTATCAGTCTATGGTACATTTAATATTCTACTCCAACGCCATAACTCAGATATATCAATTCTTCTACGGCCTTCCTTATTCACTGCCCAACTCTCACATGCGTATGAGGCTATTGCAAATATCCTGGTATGGGTCACACACACCTTAGTCTTCAAAATGACATCTTTTCTCTTCAATACTTTAAAGAGATCTTGTGCAGCAGATATGCTTATGCAATATGTTGTTTAATTTCTTGACTGCTGCAATAGTGTCACATTTTGATATTTTTGTTTAACAGATGTTTCTATGACCTTATAGTAACATTTAAAAAAAACAACAACTTTTTATTGTGAATTGAGTGAAGGAGGTTTACAGACAAGATCATCAGTTTTACGGTCAACAAATCATATGCTTATAGCAATGGGTCAACAAATCATATGCTTAAAGCAATGCTTTCTGACTTACCCTTATAAGTTGTGACTATATCCTTGCCTTTTCTCAAAAACCTCTATGAGAAATGGTCACATGGAAAAGTTTTACATTTTCAGCAAGTTTGGACCAAAACACACCATCTGTAATGTGGCTTTTACATAAGGAAATTCATGGCAATCCTTAGAGTTTAGTAACAGGAAAACATTTATTCTGGATAAACTTATATACTTCCTTTTTGTTTTAGAATGGGAAATGTATATCTATTTTTACTTTTGTTGCTAGGGAGCTCAGAGCAGAATTAAATGATGATCTCATATTCATATCCTCCCAGTGTAGCTAATACCTTCTTCTTAAAATATTGCGCCCCACCCCTAAACTTTTATTGTAACTGTTCTGTGTCATGGTTTTATTCTAAATTACCTTTCTTTTCATGTGCCAATGTGTGTGAGGCATTTAGGATACAAATTGTAAAAAAAAAAAAAAAAAAAGACAAATTTTATTATCTTTTGTTAAATCAAGCTTAACAGCTCATTTCCAAGCTTAACTGTTATGCTCACGGACCAAAACTACAATAATGAACTTGAGACATAAAATTGGTACAATATGGGAGGATTTGGAAAAATAGATAAAGGCATCTTTTACTTGTATAATCGACACATTGGCAATTGCTGATACTGTGAACTTATATTTTGAAGGGGTAGTTTGATACTTATATAATAAGCCTTAAAATGTGCATGCTGTTATAATATTTACTTTCTAGGAACTTATGCTAAGAAAATAATTGGGATGAAGAAGACAAAAATTAATAAATAATACAGAACACTTTAAAAACTCCTGCCTGGTGCTTTACTTGTCTTATTTCACTGAAAAGGTAGATACCACCAGTAACAAATTTAACAGATCTGTGACTTGAGGCTCAGAGACGATAAGTGACTTGTCTTAAGTTACTGGCTGCTAACAAAGGAGCTCTGGTAGTGTAGTGGTTATGAATCAGGCTGCGAACCACAAGGTCGGAAGTTCGAAACTACAAGCTGTTCCACGGGAGAAAGATGAGGCGTTCTGCTCCTATAAAGATTTACAGCCTCAGAAACCCTGTACGGGGTCGCTATGAGTCAGAACTGCTGACACCACGGCACACAGCCTGCCAACAAGAGGTAGTATCTGAAACTCAAACCAAAGCAGTCCAACTGCAAAGCCCAACGTTTTAACCATCATTATCAGTCTAAATGTGAGAGCAAAATATGGAAACAATAAAAATGTCCAACAGTAGGCATTTGCTAAATGAATTAAGTCATCCATCCTGGTGTGGTGCTGTGGGTTAATGTGCTGGACTGCAAAGTCATTTGAACCACCACGTCGGCGGTTCAAGCTCACCAGCTGCTCCTTGGAAACCCTATGCAGGGTCACTATGGGTTGGGACTTCTGGTGTGGCTCTGTGGGTTAGTGCGCATAACTGTAAAGTCAGTTTGAACCGCAAAGTTGGCAGTTTAAGCTCAGCAGCCACTCCTTGCAAACCCTATACAGGGTTGTTACGGGTCGGAACCGACTCAAAGTACTTAGCAACAACAACAATTGGAATACCATGCCAATTGAAAGTGTTGCAGAAATGATCTTTTTGACATGGGAAGCCACTTATAACATATTTTTGAGTGAAAAAAGGAAGGAAATAAAACTATGCCAGGTGTGGTATACACTTGTGTGTGTATGCTTGTGTGTGAATGTGTCTGTGAGTGTGGCAAGTATTCATATGTTGGAAAGAGCCTAGAGCAGTGCTTCCCAATCTTTACTGAGCCTTGAAATCCTGGGAGAGCCTTTTCTTTCATGGTCAATTTTATGCTAATGTAAATTTAAAAATATTTTTAAAACCTTTTATTGCAAATTGGTGAAGGTTTACAGAGCAAATCCATTTTCTATTAAACAGTTCATACTCATTTTGCTTCATCCCCACAATGTGACAACACTTATCCTTTTCCTTTCTGTTTCCTATTTCTATTCCTCCTTCTTCTATCCTACCCTTTCCTGCCTTCTGAACTTTGTCCTTGGGCAAGTTCTGCCCTTATGATCTCGAATGGCTGATAGGAGTGTGCAGGTCCTTAGTGTTATTGTTCATCTGATAGTTCTGCCTACTGTTTGGCTGAAAGTTGAGGCATGGGGGTGAGTACAGTTCCAGTCCTGAAGGGCGACCAATGGCCATAGTCTCAGGGGTCCCACCAGCCTCTGTCTGATTGGTAAACCTGGTCTTTTTAATGATTTTGAGTTTTGTTTCACATTTTTCTCCCACTGCATCCATGACCTTCTCTTTCAGACTGGTTGGTAGCAGTAGCCGACTACTTACTAGTTATATATGGTCTTAGGATTGTGAAGGTTGAGTTCATGTGGCCCATTAGTCTTGTTTACATGTGGCTTCAATTCTTCACTCTTCGAGGTTCAAGATGTCACGAGACCAATAGTTGCTCCTTGGGCACTTACAAGCTTTTAAGACCTTACGGGGGAAATTTTAAACAGAACCCTTGCAAATCCAATGAAATCAGAATCTATGGGGGTTTGCCCAAGATTTCAGTGTTTTAAAAAAGCTTCCGGGCTATTCCAATATATTGTCAAGGTTGAGGACCACAGTTACAGCAAGGTTCACTTAACTAGTAAATGTGGTTATGTCTGAATAGAATGGCAGTATGCTTTTTTTTTTAATGATTGAAAGAAAAAAAAGATCTAAAACTTGCAGCTTCTGGAAGAAGCACTTGTTTTTGCCCATCTTGTACCTCTTCTCAAATTTAACTTTGGCTTCCTGGCGGGCCTTGCGCTTGAGAGCAGGGTCTCTGAAGACATACTTGTTGACAACTGTTTTGTCCAAGAGGATATCCACAGAGTACTTGGTGGGCATGAGGTGATTATAGTTATAGACTTTCACAAAAGACTTGATATTTGACCTCTTGGCAATCTTCCTCTTGTCTGTGGCAGCTGTCACTTTGTGGGGATAGCGGTCAACTCCAGCCACCAGAGCCTGGCTGTAGGGGCCATCTGAGGTGATCTTGACAATGATGGCTTTGTGTCTGGAGTAGCATCCGACCTGGACCAGCACCACCTTCCCAGGTTTCATGAACTTGCCCATTTTGACGGTAACCAGCCAGGCCGACTGGCAGTATACTTTTTAAAAAATCCCTTTTATTTATACATTTTTCCTATAATGAGAACATTATTTTTCTAATTGGAAAGATTATTTTTTAATCAAATCTGACACACAGTCTAGAAATGGAATACTTTGCTTCTTTGATTTTCCATTTCTTATACATCATACCCTGGGGAGGGCTGTGGCTCCATACGATAAGCACTGGACTACATGCTACAAAGTCTGTGGTTCGGGCACTCCAGCTGCCTCATAAAAGAAAGATGAGGCTTTCTGTTCCCACAAAGATTTGAAGCCTTGGAAACCCTATACAAGGTCACTATGAGTTGGACCTACTCGAAGACATTTAACAATTTAACTACAGAATGTATGGGGCTGTGGATTAATGAGCTGGACTGCAAGGTTAGTTTGAACTGCAAGGTTGGTGGTTCAAGCTCACCAGCTGCTCCTAGGAAAACCTATACAGGGTCACTATGTGTTGGAACTGACTTGACGGCACTTAACAACAACAATAATGTATCCTATAATTTACTTTTTTTAAAGCATGTAAACAAGTATATTCATGGATTCCTGGTGTGGCGCTGTAGGATAAGCACTGGACTACAAGGATGGTTTCCACAAGTTGGGTAGTTGAAACCCTTGGAATCCCTTTATAGGGTGGCTATGAGTCAGAACTGACTTGATGGCACTTAACAATTTATAATAAGGACATACAATGAATTTGTGTGTTTGACTGTCTATGTGTATCTGTGTGTGTGTTGTGTCTCTTAGGATCACTGCAAGGTAAGTAAGTGAAAGAGTTAAGTAGATTGATTCCCTGAAGGCATCAAACAAAGGTACATGTGGCTGAGGGACCAAGCCAGGTGCCTGCTCAGTTCATTTCAGAAATCGTATTTTTGGGGGGTTATTCTGTGCCTGCTAGGATGATGAACCATCCCGGTGGCCTGGGACTCTCCTGGTTTTAGCACTGAAGTCCTGTCTCCTGGGAAGTCTCTCAGTTTGGGGCTGTACCTGCTCTGACACGGTCCTGTGCTCCCATGCCCCAACACTTTGACTTTCTCTGAGCCATAGTATAGCCAATTCTCCAGGTGAGCTCTGCTTGTTGTAACCACCTAACACAACATAGGGAGGCAGGAATGAAAGAAACCACACCAATATTTGCTCTAGGGCTAAGCTATGAATGAGAAATATAGATTTTTTGCTTTTTCATCTGTCTTTTGTTTAGAAGATAGAGGATATCTCCAAGTCCAACAGTGCTAGGATTTACTCTTTTGTTCTTCTCTGAGCTGTCATTAATGACCTTGAACATGCTCAGTTTTCTAATCTTAGGAGAGATATGGGTATTCTTGCTGATTGGTACATTTCTTTAATATTCCTGAATCATAATATATTTCTCTAGGGTCTATTAGAGGCTTTCATTGCGACATTATCTTAGATGGGGTTTTATAAAAGCTGAACTGGATTTTGCTTAGATAATTTTGGAACTGGAATTCATTTAAACAATCTACAGGCAGTACCTGGATTATGAATGACTTCTGTTCTTAAACCTGTTTTTAAATTGAATTTACACACAAGTCAGAACAGTTCTTATCTAATGTCAGTCAGATTTTGCCTTAGTCTCTTGGAAACCCTATACTGGGTCGCTATGAGTTGGAACCAACTCACTGACACTTAACAACAACATAGTATACCTTTCTATGCATAAACAAATGAAAGAAACACTTTCAGACACATGACAACACCTTTAACATAATAATTCAGTGATTAATAATACTGTTTTGATGCATGCTACAAAGTCATGTCCACTTGTTATTATGAACCAGTGTATGGAGTCCTGGTGTGGTGCTGAGGGCTAATGCTCTGGACTGCAAAGTTGGTTTGAAACACAAGGTTCGTGATTCAAGCTCACCAGCTCCTCCTTGGAAACACTATACAGGGTCGCTATGGGTTGGGACTAACTCTACGGCACTTAACAACAAACAACAACGTGTATCCTGAATTTTCCATATAACCGGCTTGGTTATAACAGGGTTGGTTCAAAACTATGAGTTGTACATAATTCAGACATTTATAACTCAGGGACTGCCTGTATTTCTTTCTTTCTCTGTGTTTCTCTAAGTTGCTGTTTGATCTTGTACTTTGCTAAATCTTGGCACATATTCCAAATCATACAGCACTCTTTTTACATGGTTTGACGGATCTAACAAACCCCTTATGTAAAATATACAAACTCTATCAAACCCTATTGTTGTTATGTGCCGTGGAGTTGGTTCCGACTCATAGCGACCCTGTACAGGGTTTCCAAGGCTGTAAATCTTTATGGGAGCAGAAATCCTCATCTTTCTCCTGCGGAACAGCTGATAGTTTTGAACTGCTGACCTTGAGGCTCACAGCCCAATTCGTAACCACTACGCTACCAGAGCTCCTTTTAAACCCTATTTATTACTTATAATATCAGCAGTGTGACATCATTGCACATATGTACCCTTTTCTCCATTCATTTACTCCTAAGCTTTCACTAAATAATGGCCTCAAACATATATGTATTGTTCTTGTTAAGTGCTGCCAAGCTGGTATTGACTCATAGCGACCTTGTATAGGTTTTCCAAGGAGTGGATGGTGAGCTTGAACCGCCGACCCTGAAGTTCAAAGCGACTTTACAGTTCAGTGCATTAACCCACAGTGCCACACTACTGTGGCACTGTGGCACTGTGGCACTGTGGCACTGTGGCACTGTGGGTTAGCAGCCCAGTGATTATCCTACAGAGCCACACCAGGACAAATATATAGTTTGTTGTTATTGTTAGGTGACATTGAGTCAGTACCAACTCACAGCAACCCTATGCACAACAGAACAAAACACTGCCCGGTCCTGGGCCAACCTCACTATTGTTGCCACGCTTGAGACCATTGATGCTGCCACTTTGTTAATCCATCTCTCTGGGGGGTCTTCCTCTTTTTCTCTGACCCTCTACCTTACCACACATGATATCCTTCTCCTGTAACTGGTCCCTCCTGACAATGCCTCACGTATGAGAGATGAAGTCTGGCCATCCTGGCCTCCAAGGATCACTCTGGTTGCACTTCTTCCAACACAGATCTGTTGGTTCAATCCACAGTAAAAAACTAGAAGGCTTCAAAAAGTTCATGGAAGAATGAAATGAAAAGATAATAGAATTTCCACACAAACTTTTGAAGTCCCCTCATACAGTTTGTCAGAACTGAAAATGTGAGATCCAAAGTTGTGATGGGCTGTTAGGGTCATATGTCCTCTTAGAAAATGACAGCTGAATGTTATTACTGACCAGAAGTGGGTCACACATTTATCACCTTTTGCTATAGCTGCTCACTCAAGAAACTGATTTCATGAGGCCCTTTATCCTCTTCAGAGTCTTGGTATGTTACAAAATGCTTCCTTTTACAAGAGACTAAATAGTGGATTTCTCTCTAAAGTTTGTAACATTTTCATCAAAATGTTAATGGGAAAGCTCCTATTTCTTGAGCTAGCAAATTGGTAGTATAGGGCCACTGGTGATTACCTTGTCTGCAAAGACCTGGCAAGTTACAGGCAAAAAGAAAGATGGTGTAAACAGACCCACCTTTTGACCAAGTTTGTGAGGATGCTGATGGGAGCTCCCTGGGCCTCTTCAACTAAGAAGGTACATTCTGGTTTGGGAAGAAGAGAGCCAATATCCTGGATCTTCTCTCAGGACCCCCTGAACACTTCTTTCCTGTGCCCTTATAAAACACTACTATTCCATTTTCATTTAATTTTTTTTTAATGATATACCATGATTTTAATACTAATAACTCAGCAAATGCTATCTTTCCTTTCTTAGTTATAGGTACTTTTGTTCCTTTTAATTTCTAACATTATTTTTCAAAGGTTTTTTATTACTATTATTGATGGAGTCCTGGCATGATGCTGCAGGATAAGCATTGGACTGCTAACTGTAAGATCGATGGTTCAAACCCACCAGTCACTCCTTGGAAACCCTATACAGGATTGTTGAGTCAGAACTGATTCAATTGCACTTAACAACAACAACAAAACAAGTCACAGTATAGTGAGTAGAGTCTCAAGTCCTTACAGCAGGATGGAAAGTCATTGGTGACTAAGGTGATGTTAAAGAAGAGATTGGGCATACCAGTGCTCCTCATTCCTGGGCATAGTGTGGTGTCATGTCTGGGGTGAGAATGTCTGAGTGCTGGATTCGAGTCACAGTGTCACTCCTAACTAGAAGGTGTCCCATTCTCCTAATTGACCAAGGGGATTACAATAGAGTTACCTTATGGGTCACTCACTGGGTTAAAATTAGGAAAGGTGTGCACCAGGGTTGTATTCTTCCACCATCCTTAGTCAACCTCTATGCTGAGCAAATAATCAGAGAAGCTAGATTATATGAAGAAACACATGGCATCAGAATTGGAGGGAGACTCATTAACAAATAGAAGACTCAAAGCAAATGGAAGAAATGAGGAGGTACAAGAGATGAATAGAAAATTTCAAAGATCAGCTCGAGAAGATAAAGCCAAATATTACAACAAAATGTGCAAAGATCTGGAATCAGAAAACCAAA